TCCGTGATCCGATCCGTGATCCGATCCGTGATCCGATCCGTGATCCGATCCGTGATCCGGTCCGGTCCGATCCAGGTTTTGTCGACGCCGTGCTTACCACTGAAGCTTGCATTGTTACGTTGTACGTGTACAAGAAGTACGTTCCGAGAAATTGTGCAAGTCGGCTAGATGAACGATGTAGCCACGGTCCTGCGCTATGAAAAACAAAATAGCCATTAACTTCTGGGGTTTTTTTACCAGTAGCATTTGTTTTTTTTTTTAATTACGACAATAACAAATTATTTTACTGAAATTGCTACTAATCTCGCAATCTGATTGGCTAATTCGCCGTTGTCAATAAGAGTCCAGACAACGCTGCTCACGTCAGTGTGTCACGCAATGCCTCTTTCAGCTCACGCTCTAAAGCAAACATTTTCTTTGAAGTTGATATTGTGGTAAAAAACAAATCAAATGTGGTTTAGTGTGGTCTGTACTCTTGTCGACGACAATACGCGTCATCACAATGGTCAAAATGTTGTGGACTCACAAGGCACTGCTGAGTGAGTCCACAACAAATTCTGACCACTGTGATGACGCATATCGTTGTCGATAAGGGTACAGACCACACTTAAAACCACATTCAATTTGTTAATTAGCCTATGTAAGGGAACACCCCCCTCCCCCACGCGATCACACAGCACTCAAAATGGATGCTGGATAAAATATCCAATAGTGCAAAGTTGCAGCTAATTAGTTCTACAGCCCACAACTGGCAACAAATTCTGTAGAATATGTCATTTTGAAAACTTTCTCTGTTTAATTTTGAAAGTATCCTCTGCAAATGCATCAAGTAACAATTTTTCTCTCATCGAGGTCCCCACCCCTCCCCTCTATGTACTCTGCATATAGGCATGCAGGCATAAAATTTACTAGACTAATATATTATAGATTTAGCCAAACCTAAAAGCGGAGCTTCTGGGCCAGGTTTTTTTAAGCCTGATCAAGCTAACCCAGGATAAGCAAGGATTTTGATTTGAGTTTTGTAACTTTGTGGTGAGGTTTTCTGTTTATATTGTTTGGCTTTCTGTTTTGAGTTTCAACGATCTCAAACTACACAAAACAAAAGCAGTGAAAAACATTTGTACACCTTCTGAACAACCCGGCCCAGATTAACAAGTTATCCTGACTTGAGCCTGCGATCCAGTTGAAAACCATTACTTGGTCAGCGGTCGACATGTCACACCGATGAGCTCTAAACCCAAGCCCGTGATATGGTCATGTGATACTGGTCAGGGGATACATGTACCTTGTTTTGACAGGTGTCAATTGATCATAACATGGATGTCCAATATCAACTATGTTTGCTGTAAACCAAGGCTGCATGCCTCAGTTGACCTATTAACTGGAGTATGGCCGCCATGTTGTGCAACGTTGTCGTCGTTGGGTGCACACGCCTGCGATCCATGCCATTAGCCATGTTGACCACAAAAAAAGAGTTGCATGGTTTTCTATTTCTAATTGCATGCATGTGGTTCTGTTCCTATAGTTGTGGGGCTCTGCTTGGTGGCCTTTTGGGCTGCCAGCGCTTCATTATGAAGAACAAATAGCCCTTTTTGCAGTTAGAATTTCTCATTTGCTTTTACAAATTTAATCCAACCTGTATGCAAGGGCAGAAACTACATAATTGCCCAAAATTTCCTCATGTATCTACATTTAGTTATTAAATATAAATGAAAATAGTTAACCCTGAAAGTTGTATTTGTATAATTTGTTTTACTAAAATGTTGCATTCCTTTCTCTTTCAGAGGGGCTCATCCAAGGGTCCACAGATACCTGGAGTTGCACCTTCAGATCCAGTGTGGGTACAATGTATATAATTTAAGTAAACAGTTTGATTTTTATCTACCCGGCCAAATTTTATTAAAAGCTAGTATGACTGGAACTTGTTATTTCATGAAAGGTGCTTTTTATGGCCCAGTACATATATAATTCGATGGTTTCACATCCAATTTTGTTCCTGAGATGGTCTGCAGGTCCTTAATTCTGAGCAGTGATATCAAAATAAGAAAAAAAAAAATACTAACAAATATGCAATTGGAACTAATTTGTCTAAAATTTATTTTTGTTCCTTTGGCACTTTTTTCCTCTAAAATTTAATTTAATCTGCTAAAATTACTTATTAATTGTTTCTTTTGTTTGGCAAATAATTATTAGAAGATAAATAAATAAATAAATAAACAAACAAATTAATGTGTTGTTCCAGAAAATATCCATACCCCTCCCATGGAAGGTTTTTTGGTTAGAACCCTCCCACTCCTCCCAAAAATTTTCACTTTTGAAGGCCCCCCCTCCCCTTCAGAATTTCCAATAGCCTTCCTTGGGGTGGGTATGGATATTTTCTGAAACTGCACAATTAATTTATAATGTGGTATTCTCTTTTTTAGGAGTGGGAACTTAGGGGACATGGCTAAGGCTGGGAGTGTTCATGAGTACTTGATAGAGTTACATGAGAAGTATGGCAACATAGCTGGATTCTGGTGGGGAAAAGAGTATGCTGTCAGTCTGTCGTCAGTTGAATATTGGAAAGAAATACAACAACTCTTTGACAAGCCATGTAAGCTGATGTTCATGCTGTTAAATTTATGTTGCTAAATAGTTATAAGTGGAAATAATAGCTCACACATAGCCGATGGATGAATGGACATTGATTTACTGTTCCTCTAGATCTGGCATGATCAGATGGTCAGATAAAACAATGTTTTGCTTTACCTTTGAAAGGTATTTTTATTATGATTTGTGCTGTTTCCTTCAGATGAACAATTTAAGTTCTTTGAGCCTCTGTTTGGAATAAAGAGTCTGACATATAAGAATGGACCAGAGGCACGCAAGAAAAGGCAACTGGTTGACCGGAGTTTTAGCCATGAAGCAGTGACACACTATTATGATCACTTTACTAAGGTATTTGTTACTCTTGCCGTGTTCTGTTCTGTTCTTATTTTATGGTAAACCATGATACTATCAGGCTGGCAGGCACTTCTGTAGCATGAAAGAATCAGAGATGGTTATTACTCTGTTTTATATAGGAGTCAAGTCCATCATAGTATTGTCTTGCACTTCCAGCATTTAATTGACACCAGTACCCAGTGATACACCTGGTTCTGGTTGTCTGAAGGGTGGAGATCACTTTCCATTGCCAGGATAACTGTTGTCAAAATGGAAAATGTTGCCAAAATGGATAATAAATGTTACCCACTCTTTAGAGTTCACTATGTTCAAACTTTGGACAAAAAGATTCAAGTAACTGTATTGAAGTGGTAAGTAAGTAAGTAGAAGTAGTGGAGAGACATACAACCAATCTCTGACAAGCCGGGTAATTAACTAAAGATGTTCGGTTACTAGATTACGTATTTATAAGTGAAAGCCTCTGGTGAAAGTGGTTAGCAGTAATCTCCAATGAATTGGCATGCAAACAGCGAAGCGATCACAAAATCAAGGAACGTTTCAAACAGAGCTTGATGACGAACCAGAGCAACAATTTGCAGAAGATCGTTTCAATCAGTTAAAATAAAATCTGTCCGTGACAGTTGTCAAGTAAAGGAAAAATGTCCAAGCCAGGGTTGAACCAGCGGATCTGACTGGCATTGTTCAGCAGTTTAAATCGACAAAACGAAGAGTGAAAAAAAAAAAAAACAGGGGAAAAATTCGGGTTTTGAACCGACGTCCTATACCATATTTCGTCACATGCATGCACTTTAATCATTTGCGCCACCTAACACATGCTAACAGAGACTGGCAAATTTACATAACAATTTCCTTTTGTTTCGCTTCATTGCACACCGTTCAACGACTCTTGGATATTTTGGCTTCGATTTTCTCGAAAACGAAAAGCAAACTGGAGAAAAAAAACAGCAAGGCATTGTTAGGTAAGTAAATTGAAAGCCATATACAAAAAATCAGGCACTTTTGACGAAAAAAATTTTTTGACCTAAATAGTCACTTAGGAGGGTTTTCCACTAGCATCTTCAGTTGATTCATGCTACAAAAACTGAATCAATTGAAGCACTGGCAAGAACAAACCCCTGAGCTCTCACAAGCTCTTGCTAATCTTTTATCTCACATCTGTTGCCCATCGCTTAGAGTCTTAAGTTAGTAAAAGCCTTTTGCATTAATTAAATTATTTTTAGATTGCGAAAGAGACAGCGGAGAAGTTTGCTACGTACTCTCAGACTCAGGAACATATTCCATTGGGGAAATCCATGCTAGCCATGACAATCAAAGCCATATCTGTGGCAGGAATGGGTCGCTTCTTTATGGACAAGAAGGAAATTGACAAAATGGCAATAGCATATGAAGATGTAAGTCAGAGTTTTGCAGCATTTACTTTAGGCTCAATTTCCAGCCAAACTTCCAAAATGGCTGGAAATCGAGCCTACATTTCCCCTTTATGCCCAGAAAATGTAACACTCAGGCTTCAGTTTCAGTAGATATTTACTAGTTGATCGCTAGATATTTGACATNATTAATAATAGTCATATCAATTTTATTAATTGCTTCATGCTACAAAAACTGAATCAATTGAAGCACTGGCGAGATCGAACCCCTGAGCTCGCACAAGCTCTTGCTAATCTTTTATCTCACATCTGTTGCCCATTGCTCACAGTCTTTAGTTAGTAAAAGCCTTTTGCATTAATTAAATTATTTTTAGATCGCAAAAGAGACAGCGGAGAAGTTTGCTACATACTCTCAGACTCAGGAACATATTTTGTTAGGGAAATCCATGCTAGCCATGACAATCAAAGCCATATCTGTGGCAGGAATGGGTCGCTTCTTTATGGACAAGAAGGAAATTGACAAAATGGCAATAGCATATGAAGATGTAAGTCAGAGTTTTGCAGCATTTACTTTAGGCTCAATTTCCAGCCAAACTTCCAAAATGGCTGGAAATCGAGCCAACATTTCCCCTTTATGCCCAGAAAATGTAACACTCAGGCTTCAGTTTCAGTAGATATTTACTAGTTGATCACTAGATATTTGACATCCATTTTGTAACCAACGGACACCTTTTTATGTGACTGAAATCCTATCATCGGCATCTTGACTGCTGTTCTTTAAATGACATCCTTTCATCAATGTTGCTGAAAAAACATAATGTTTAGGTTCCAAGTCATTTCTGAAATTTTTAGGATACAGCTAGTAAATAACCTGCTTTCATGCTATTGATTCAGTTACAGCCTAGGTGGCCCTTTAAATGTTTTTTGCTTACAAACCATTTGGCATGCATTGTGTGCCTATGAGACTGCATGTGCTGGCTTGCATTATAGGTCTGAAACCCTGATATTTGCAGTGGCAGATCCAGACCTTGAGCCAAAGGGGGGGGGGAGGATGGGTTGCTTGCCCTGCTGGCTTTTCTTCTGTGATTTTTTTTTAACCAAAATAAGGGGAAATGGGCCCCCAAGCCCCTCCCTTAGATCCACCACTGCTTTGTAAAACATACCACAGCAGCAAAGCCCTCTGTACATCTGTATGCGGTGTTGTGTGCCCAGAACAACATTAGCTTGCTTGCACTTGTTTATTACTTCATGAAGCATAAACAGAGGCCATTTAGAGCTCCATGTATTAATACACTGTCTGAGAAAAAAAATAATAATCAGTGCTTTTATGATTGTACAAGTCCACAATACAATCCCATTCTATCAAATTAAATTTAGTGTTGGAATGAGATGGAGGCTCGGCTTGCTGGTCCTTGTCCTGCACCTGACAGTGAGAGGGAGAAAAAATTTCAGACAGGTAAAAAATCAGTAGTTTGTATAATTATGCTGCTGTATAAAGTCTGCATACGAGCCAAGTGGCCCATCAGGCTAGCGTTTATCTGCGGTTTTGGTAGCATGAAGCAACTAGGAGTATTTCTACTCCCCTTGGATGAGATGCTAGTCCATGGCAGGGTTACCTCAGTATAAAATTTACCAGTACCAAATTTATACACTTGGGTGGAGAGAGGCACTGTGAGAGGAAAATGTCTTGCCCAAAAACATAACACAATAATATCCCGGCAGCCAGGGCTCAAACCAGTGGACTGCTCAATCCAGGGACAAGCACACTAACCATGAGGCTTAAACCGCACCTCTTAGTTGAGTAAGATCTGGTTGTAAAATGAATCCTATTTTGAGTTGGACATGGGATATATGTATTTGTCTATCACAGTGCCTTCTCCACTTTGTGCTGGTGAACTGTTAACAAAAACTATCATAAGTTCAAATCTACACTGTAGGGGCAGGGTTAATGCTGTGATGACCCAGCATCCCTTCCAAAGGGAGTGGCAGTTTTCCTAGTCACTTCATGCAACAGAGACAGGGATAAACGCCTTCAGTGTAACTCACATGATCATGCTTACTTACCATGACAACAGAAAATGAAAACTAAAATATACGAGAACCCTTCTAATTAAGTGTGTTTCAAAACCATAAAAGAGTGTTGAACTCATAGCTAGCTAGAAAGTAAGGACATTCAGGAGGGTGTTTTTGATCTTCAAAACTTAATTTAAGAACTACACTTTTGTAGTATTTAGACTATCATCTGCCTTAAAGTTTGGCCCATATTTTTTACATGGAACTCAAATTGGTGTTATATAATGCTAAGTAATTAACGATATACTGTACCCACTCAGGTTCTGTTTGTTTCTGCTTTTACAAATTTAAAGCTAACTGTATTATTTCCAACTTCATTCTTTTCTCATCTGCAGCAAAAACTTACATGAAAGATACAGTCAAGAACCTGCTGAATAAGAGAAAGCAAGAAAAGAATAAAGAGGAAATGCTGTTCATTGATTCCATTTTGGATTGTGATCTTATGGATGAAGAAGAGGTAGCTTGACGGAGTTAAATTTTCTGTTCCAAATGTATTTTGTTAATGAATATGTCTTCCTTTGTCTCAGATAGAAAGAAAGTAAATTTAACCTAGTTAACTTTATAAATGGTGTGGTGTAGTGTGATGTCACTCACGAGTGTTTTGTCTCTCTGTTGGAGCCGCATATGCTTGGGGCGAGCCCATGAGGAAAATTCCAACTTGACTACCACCCCGTTTAAGAGGCCCCGTTGCTAAAACATAAAACTTGCGCACAAAATTCTGACAGCTATGTAGCAGGTTAATTAAACTTCTATTACAGTTGTAATTATGGGTTACCAGTTGTTCTATAACCACATTCAATTTTTCTAAGAGCATGTTTTAGCTTACTCATCAAGTGAGCACTAGGTACATCTTTTTTCTTGTTCTTTGTAGATGAGCGATAATGTGATAACATTCCTAGTTGGAGGCTTCCACACCACAGGGTTCAGTAAGTACTGTTTAAACAATAAAATAGTATCAAAAGTACCCTAATAAGGTGTATTAGAGAGTCAATTGCCACAAAGGCGCCTTGAAAAAGTGCAGTGTTTAATTCTAAAATAGTATCAAAAATGCCTCATATATATGAGGTGTATTAGAGACAAATTTGGGACAAAGAGGCAGCTTGAAAAAGTGCAGTGCATATTGTGTATTGTGCGTTTTGCTGCTCTGTCTTGAGGCTAAACTTATCTGTTAGATTAGATCTGTTTAGCAGCTTAACATCCACTGGAACATGGAAAACATGGAAAATTTCCTGTTGTTTTTCATGTTCTTGAGAAGATGCAGAATTAGGCGATTTCAACAAGTATATGTCTTGAAAAGGTGACTATAATGCACACACAAAATCATTAATTAAAAGCAATACCCCACCCTTTCTGTAAACAAGTGCAGAAAGCATTTTTAATGTGACTGTATCATGACATTACCTTTTAATGATCTTTGTATTTCATTTTATCAGTGATGACCTGGTGTTTGTACTATCTGACAAAACATCCTGAGGTTGAAGAAAAAGTTTTTGCCGAACTAGACAAAGTTTTGGGAGATGAAGACATCAAACCACAAGTAGCCTCGGAACTGAAGTGAGTGCACTTTACAAAACCTAATTTCCTACTGGAGGCGGTGTGGCTGAGTAGTTTAGGGCACTGGATTTGAAATCTGGTGATCATGAGTTCAAATCCTCCCTGCTGCCAGGGTTTGTGTTTGGTGATCCCAAATTGAACTCTTCCGTGTCTTGTTAATACCGTAGCCTGGACTTACCATCCTTAATCAATTGGCATTTTTAACAAGTTTTTCAACTCAGTTTACAATATTTGTTTCTACATTTATAAGTGTCCCCAGCTGGCACAGCAGGGCTAAATACCATGGGACTTAAATAGAGTGATCTATCTACTGACCCACAGGGACTTCCATTTGAAAAGGCCGGGAATGCTTGTCTTTCTGCTTAAGGATGTAAAGCAAGGATTTTGGTCTCACTTAAAGTCTTCAGGACATACTACACTCTTTATAGCTGGCAAAGTATATTTTTGGGTGCACTCAGAGAAATTTAAATGAAAAAACAGTTTCACTTCTGTTTTTAGACTGGATTTTTGCCGCTCTCTGGAGTTTAGTCAACTAACATAAGTTCCTTTCTCAAACAGCAGTTGGCAATCACTAGCCTAGTTGGTTCTAAGTAGTATCTTTTACTGAGGGGTCAAATAAAACTCAAGACATGCCCAGAATGGTCTCCTTTAGGGACTTAAATAAAAAAATTTATGTCAAGCATCCCTGACCTTTTCATATGGGAGTCCCTGGTTCTGTTGAACTGTTCACAATGCGGCATGGTTTCCATTCATTTAGGTACACTCGTCAGGTGCTTGATGAGACCATGCGTGCCTCGGTACTGGCTCCTTGGGGTGCACGAATCCATGAGTTTGATCTCCAAGTTGGGGAGTTTGTCATTCCTAAAGAGGTAATCATATGACATAATGAAATAAACACGTGTTTTACTCCATGCTTAATTCATCCAATGAGAGAGAGATTTCTATAAATCTACCAAAAAAGCCGTACATTTACATGGATCTTTGCTGTGATTGGTTGCTGCCAGGCAACAATTTTTCATGTATAAGCTAAACAACCAATCAGAGCAGAACTGAGTAATGTCATTGTAAGGAAATTAAAGTAACTGCCACTCCATGCTGCCAAAAAAAAAAAATGTTACCCTTTACTAAATATATTGAAAATATTTTCAGCTGGAACATCTCAATTTTTGCATGCCCAAAATGTGTTAATGCCCTCTCCCCAAACTATAAACAATAATTGAATTCAGTGTTTTTTATGATATCTACAATAGCATCTGTGGAAAGACTACAGCCTTTCCTTCACTTTTGATTTTTTTTTTTTTACTTTTGATGCCAATTTTGTTTTATTTTATTTTTCAGACACCAATACTTCTGCCATTTGGCATTGTCCTACAGGATCCAAATTTGTGGCCAGAACCTAACAGGTAAAGTAAAGGCCACTGAACTCTGAAAACAAGCTTGGGGAAATTCAAATAAACTTTCCATCTCATCCAGACAGCACTTTCACATTTTTTGGTCAAATTCCTGTTTTAGGTTTGATCCTGATCGTTTCAACCCTGAGAACATCAAACAGCTTCCAAGCCTTGCTTACCAGCCATTTGGCTTTGCCGGGAAACGAAAGTGTCCTGCATGGCGATTCTCAATTGCTGAGGGACTGGTGTTTTTGTCCATTCTCATGAAACGATTTAAGTTTCATCTCGTAGAAGGACAGGAAGTGAAACCTGTCCATCGGCTGGTGAC